TATATATATATATATATATATATATATATATACATACATACACACACATATGTGTGTGTATTTATTTATTTGTTTCACTGGGAACAATTATTAATAACAGTCATGTGGTGAGGACTTGTGGAAATATTGCATAATGCTGTGTAGAAACTGGATTCCAGGAGAAAGGATGGAGGGTCATTATCAAAATTAAAAGATGTGGTCAGAGCAAGGGTCATAAGTATTCGTGATCTGGAAAGTCATGTAGAAAAATACGTCATGACTTTCCTGATGATCTAACAGTTACTCTTCTTGCTGAGACCAAGAAGACTGGATTGTAGTTTTTGGCTCTTTGCTATCATTAGGCAGCAGCCAGAGACAGGGCCAAGACTACAGATGAAAGCCCTGGCATTATAGACAATAGACTTAAAAGTAATTAATGTGATTACCTGCCATGATTTAAAATCATTTGATAGCATAAAAAATAAAATCTTGCTTTTCCTTACTTTTCACATGATTATATGCCCACCTTCAGATCATTTTAAGGAGTTAATCTAAAACAGATATAAATTGGCTTTTGACAGATAATAAAGCATTTGCTGTCCTTAATTTTGGTTAGTTTTGATCTTATGTTATAGAGTTAGATTATTTATTCTGAATTCCTGATTGTTTAGGTATGCCATCTATGAATAATAATGTTATGGAGAAATTACTGCATAAAGAAATGCCTGTTAATCGTCATGATTGCATATGTGTGTGTGTGCTGTGTCTCTATATTTTATCTCAATTTCCTTTAAAAGATAACTTGGCTTTTTTTTCCCTATGATTGTGAATATCACAGAATCTCACACTGGCATTGGCACAAAGGTGAGGATACTTTATTACTAATTGCTCCTCTAATAGAAAATAGAATTTATGGAGTATAATTTAATACGATTTCAATACTCTTGGGAAAAAATATGAAGTAAATAAACACACTCTTCTCATTTGCAGATGAAGATACTGGGACTCCAAATGGTATAGCGGTTTCCCTGAAGACTTTGAGAGGTTTAGAAGAACCGGGTCAGATAGGCTAATCATAACAGTGTCTGGATTTCCCACATTTGGGGCCATGGAAGAAACACCGTGTAATTATGCTTTCTGTCTTTGGAAGATTTGCCTGGCTACTTTGTATCTGAGCATGCAAAATCTTGAGTTTTAACATGGCAGAAAATGCCACACATTGCCCCATCTCTGCTTTCTTCCTGGTTGGTATTCCTGGTCTGCAAGAATTTCACTGCTGGTTTGGCATCCCTGTCTGCCTCTTGTTTGCCCTGACCCTGCTGGGGAACAGCGTTATCATTGTAACTATCAAGCTAGAGCCAAGCCTCCACCAGCCTATGTATTTCTTCCTTTGCATGCTGGCAATGAATGACATGGCACTTGTCTGTTCCACAGCCCCTAAGATGCTTGGCATTTTCTGGGTTAATGCACACTGGATTGACTTTAATATCTGTTTAGCACAAATGTATTTCATCCACACATTTTCCATTATTGAATCTGCTCTCCTTGTTGCCATGGCTTTTGACCGCTATGCAGCTATTTGCATCCCACTGCGTTATACTACCATCCTGACGACACCAATGGTCATTAAAATGGGTCTAGTTGGTTCGATCCGAGCTGTCCTTATGGTTTTGCCCTGTCCTCTTCTTATTAAGAGGCTGCCATATAATACAAAATATATCATCAATCATGCCTATTGTGAGCACATGGCTATAGTGAAGTTGGCCAGTGCTAACACCCTAATTAACAGAGCATATGGAATCTCTGTGGCCCTTTCAGTGATGGTGTTGGACCTAGGGCTCATAGCCACATCCTATGTCAAAATCCTCCAGGCAGTCTTCCGGCTTTCCTCTCAGAATGCCCGTTCTAAAGCACTGGGCACATGCGCTGCCCATGTCTGCACCATTCTTGTCTCATACACACCTGCATTGTTTAGCTTCTTAACACACCGCATTGGGAAGAAGGTACCTCCAAATGTCCACATAATTTTTGCATGTTTGTACCTTCTGGTGCCCCCCACAGTCAATCCCCTGGTGTACGGTGTCAAGACCAAGCAGATTCGTGATCAAGTGGCGAGTCTTTTCTTTCCAAGCAAAAAAATAATCTGAAAACGAAAACATTTAAGTGCAGACTCATGTTGGCAGAATCTGGCTTCAGTGTTCATAATGCATCAAAAAGTCACAAGTTTTCCCTAATATGTAATCTCTCCATTCAGGTATGTGTTGTAGCAAGAATACTTAATACTGTATATATTGTTTCTCTGTTTTCAACTTTTTTATGTTTTCTCTTTTTTTTCTTTAGAAATTAAAAAATGGCCTTTCATAGGAAGTTTTAAAAAATATTAGCAATAATTGTCATTTACTATTACTATTGTTTTATTTCTATATCATTACTATTTTTTTGTATAAATACATGTCAAATTACTTGATGAATTATATTTTAACAGCTTAGAAGTTCTCAATAAACTGCTTTGCAATATATAAATTGCTCTGAAGTTTTTCAGTTCAAATTCTCTTCATACTGAGATTGAAAGTTCTTGAGTAAAAACAAGCATTTTTAGGTTGTTCTAAAATGATTATAAAGATAATAATAATGACTCAAACTTCAGATAATAATTACTGTGTTTTGGCTATTTACTAAGTTCTCTGTCTACACTCATTCCTTTAGTCCACAGATCTCTACTAAGATATATGTGTTATTATTATTCTCATTGTACAAATTCAGAAATGGATGCACAGAGAGATTATGTAAATTGCACAAAGTACTCACCTAAAAAGTGGCAATGCAGAATTTAAACCCAATGTACCTGGGTTTATAATATATGATATCTTTTACCATGACAGAAGATAAAAATTTCCCATTTACTTTACAAACAGGAAAGCTTATTTCCTAAAATATTTTATGTATTTTTTCTCTATGTATGCCCTCTCCTTTTTTTTCTCTCTCTCTCTTTTTTTTAGAGACTTTTGCTATAGGGCAAAAGTCTTAACTTTTGCATGTCATTATATTGTGCACACCAGAGAGACAGAAAGCAAGACAGAGAGATAGAAGGCAAAAAATCATCCTTCAGGGATGATGGCCATGCCACAATCCCTTTTCCAGAATTTTGGGCATGCACACACTTGCATCTGGTGTGAGTTTGAAGTCAGTGGATCTGGGACTCAAACTACAGTTGGCCATGTAGGAGTCCAGCAAAGTAACCACCATGTCATATGCTGGTCTCTCTCTCTCTCACTCTCTCTCTCTCTCTTTTTTTTTTTAATTTGCAAGAGAGATGTGTGTTCACCAAAGACAGACACAGAGAACTAA